TTAGAAGGCATAGTGAAGTTGGGTAGGTATGAAGTACGGTAATATTGTTGATCACAACAGCTTCTGTTTTGAGGATAGGGGTTTCCTGATTTTTTGGCTTCAGATGACAAAGTGCCTTGCCTTTTGCACCATCAAATATGGTCTGGCCAATAGCCGATATCTTCTTTGGATATGGAGTTGTCGATAAACCAAGTTTGGTGAGGCATTTGTGAGTTATGAAGGAATGTTGACTTCCTGAGTCTATCACTAGACGTATGGGTTGAAATCTTCCTGAAGCATCTTTTATCTCAGCAACTACAGTACCCAGCAATATGTTGCTATGTTGAGGAAGAGTTGTGGTCAAAGACGAAGTTGGTGCAATAGTAGCATTATCTTTCGGTTCTTCATCAGCTGAGGTTGGAATATGTAGTAACGAGTGGTGTCTCTTCTTGCAAAATTTACAAGTCCACTTTGAGTTACACTTTCCTATAGTGTGGTTGGCATACAAGCAATTTTTACATCCATGCCAATTTCTTAACATCTTGTGTCGCTCATCAACTGTTGCATTCATAAAATCTTTACATCTCCCGAGTGTATGACTACCACTGTTGCATAGAAAGCATGTGAAACCTTTATTGTTATCTTTCGATTGCATGTTATTTCCTGGTGAGTTAGCCAGGAGTGTAGCTCGCATACCACGGCTAGAAGATCTAGTATTATATCCTTTAATAGCGCCACTAGGCTTCGCAGAGTTATTGTCAAGTGAGGATTGATGAGAATTTCCAAGGGCGAGCTGTAATGCTAGGCATCGTTCCCGTAGAAACTTCGTAAGATCATCAAAGACAGGAAAATCTTTATCTTTGTGTTGAAGTTCAAACTGTTCTCTGGTCGCAGAATCTAATAATCGAACAGCAATATGAAACAATACAAAATCTGCTTCATTTGGAATTTTTAGCAGTTTAAATGCTGCAATATTGTCTGAAACTTGTGATACAAAGTTCTGTAGAGAATCAATGGTAGGTTTGCCTTGCTGTGGCTTAAACTGGATGAGCTGATTTAAATAGTTAGAGGCTAGCATACGTTTATTATTAAACGTGTCGTTCAATGCCTTCCATGCCAAGTCATAATTGTCTTCTATTAATGGCAAGTTACTTATAACTGCAGAAGCTGTGCCTACAAGTGAGGACACCAGGTAATGGAATTTCTCCATTTTAGTCAACAAAGCATCATTATGAATAATTGATAAGAATGCATCACGGAATTTAGGCAAGTTTGTAATTTGTCCATTGAAGTGGGGCAGATTGATCCGAGGTAAAATTTTATTTGATCTGTTTTCAGATGATATAACTGATTCATTAGGATTAATGCTTTGGCGTGAGGGAGGTGATGTTGTCTGAACAAGAGCCATAAGTGCCTCATAGCTTGTGTGTGCCTCGTAGTAATAACGTTTGGCCTTAGTTTGCATAGTCAGATCTGCTTCGACAGGAAATTCTGAGACTTTTCCTTCATCTTCATGTAGGTCAATAAGTTCATCCCAAAGAGTTTCAAATTTGGAAAAATATTTCTCTAACACCTTAAACATACCCTTGAATAAGTTCACTTGAGCAGGATCTTTGAGAGCTGCCCTACCCTTCTCATTAATAGTTTGGACTTCCTTAGCACTATCTGATCATTTTCTTTTCAAGGCAGAAACCTTGCGCTTAAAATCTTCTGCATTCATTTTCCCCCTCAGAAATTGAATACCAAGAGAAAATTTAAATAATCAAAGGCATAAATGTTTGAGCAATCTTTACAAAAGTATGGACATGACAAGTGTTATATACTTCAAGATAGTAAAAAATCAACAAAGAACACCACTAATTCAGAATGAAAGTAGATAAAAAAATTCACACCATGATTTGCAAAATGATTCAATAAGCTTGTATATAATATTACAGCAGCACATAGAACAAGATTGTAGAATATAAATCAGCAATATTTATTTGTGTTAAAAACTATTCAGCAGAAGAAAATATTTTCAGATTAAATTCTCAAAACAACCCTAATAACTCTTAAAAATATTAATAAACCACAAATCCAATACTGGAGAAATGTATGAGCGTTTTACAATTAAATATCTAATTTAATCTAAGACCAAATGAATACCAAATATTTTATATGATAACTACCTTTAAACAAACAAATTCTCAACTGTAATCTACAATAACCTTCAAATACAATTAACCTTACTTTATATCCTTTAATATGTTTCTCAAAAGTATATTTTAATTTACATTTTTTTTTTATTTATTAACAAATGACTAAGTGAATCCGGCTCGAAGGACCAATATGTTTGAACAAAGGGGAATTAAAAATTAAATTCCTGACTTTGCTACCAAACTGAATAATTGCTGGTTCAATAGATATTTGTTAATATAATAGTAGAAAGCAAGTTTATTGATCTGTCTAAACAGTGAGTTACTACTGGAAAAATAATAAATTCATTTGAGTTAAGAAAATATTATAATAATACAAAATTAAATTAACCCTTTACAATAAAAATATTAAAATCAAAACTATTCTCTTGCTGAGATATTTAAGTCCAAATTGAAATAGACAGAGAGGAATGATGTGTAGAGATGTACTCACGACCTCGAAGAGAAGAAATTATCGAATGTTCATTAATAGCAAGGAATGGAGATTAACACTTCTTGAGAAAATAAAATATAACACTGTGTGCATCCAAACTTCTGGTGAATGTTCCTCACGGTTAAATAAAACTTCTGTAGAAACAATAGAGTCAATAATTGATGATTTAATATGGGATACTGAGACCCATGGTAAAATAATTAGAGGGATTCAGAGACCCTCATAATGTTTGATTCACATGAAGACTGCATAGTAACTGAGTGAGTTGGAGCAGTGTACAGGAAAAGCCACTGGTCAGTCTATATCATGTCGGCTGGAACTGATAAGCAGGATACGCAGCACATTCCTCTGCATTGTCTGCCTATCTCTCTCTCTCTCTCTCTCTCTCTCTCTGTCTGGCTTAACTTAATACAATTTTATTTTATGAACTCACTTAAAATATTATTCTGAATTGAACCAAAAAGTGCAGTGATTTATTTACACACAAAACATTTAAATATCTATTATTTAAATGACAAAACAAGTATTATTTTATTTAAAATAAATTTAAGTTTAGACCTAATTTGAGAATGCTCAAACAAATAATTTTACAATTTTTGATAATTTTTTCAGTAGCAGTACCCTTAATTTGAGTTACTTTGTGTGACCATTTTTAATAATCGTAATTTGTTTACAGGTAAATTGGCATTTCAAAATCTGGGACTAAAAATTGAGAAATACTTTGCATAATAAATTGACCCTGAAGCCATAAAAGTGTCTAAGGCATATCATGGGGAGGAGGTAGAGCAGTTAGAAGAGATTACATCAAATACACGCCAATCCATTTAATCATTGGTGGATACCCCTGCAATTACCTCAGCAGGGCAAATCCCGCCAGAACAGGACTCTCAGGTACAATAATCTATTTGTACTAGTTCTCATGTGAGGTAGAGAAGATAGGGGACGTCAAAGAGATTACATCAACAACCCTGGCAAAATGCCTGCCAGCATAGTTGAAAACCCAACCAACACAGTCCTTAACAAGGTAACCGTTACTGGAACCAAGGTGAAGGTTTTTTTTCACATTTTTGACTGGCTAGGATATTTTAGAAATAAAAATGGAAGACAATTAAAGGGATCACAAAGTTCAGTCATTTTCATTTCAACTGCAATGAAAAAGGTGTAGCTAATGTAAAAGTTGGATTAGGCGACCCTGATGAAAAACACCTAATCACTTTTGACGTAGAACCTCCCACTGATTTACCCCAAGAAATTAAACCGGTGGGGCTGACTATTTAAAGAAAAAGTGTTTATACCAGAAAATCAGAGAGTACACTCAAAAAGACATGCATGACTTGCCCCTTTACAATAAAAATATTAAAATCAAAACTATTCTCTTGCTGAGATATTTAACCTGATCCAGGACCAGAACCTGAAAAAGAACAGGATCTTCAAGAGGAACTTGTCGACAAGGTGAACGTCGCTGGTCCAAGTCAAGTTAGTTTGTCTTTTGATACAAGTTTGTTTTTCTTTCAATAATAAAAGGAATGTTTACATCTTTTTAGTTAGTTTTCCTTATGTCCGTTGGGTCAAAATAGGTTCATCAAGTCATTTTGTACACAACCGTGTACATTACATATATACTAGTGGTCACCTCGTGGTCGAAAACTCAACCAAAAATATGTATTGTGCAAACTTCTCTATTTTCACCCCACGCTGTAAATAAAACATGTGATTGGAATTTCTTCCATTTGTTTTGATTTTCTGTTACTATTTCGTTGCTATTTCGTCATCAGCATGGCAACCCATAAGGCTCATGTTAATTTTTGTTAAATTTTAAATTCAATTTTGTGCTTATTTTTTGAGCCAATTTTATTTTATACAGGGATTCTACACATCTACAGGCAACTATCTTTCAAACGGTATGCGTAGATTTTCCCTGCGATGCACACGAGCTGAGAAAAAAGGTTTCAAAGCAACATGCTTGCCTATCATTATGTAGATATGTACATAGTAAAAAAAATTACATTAACTAAATACATTAACTTTTTATTAGCTGGGACCGAAAGGTTTTTGCGACGTTCTACAAGCAGAACAAATATGTACGTGCAATGGTTTGTAAACTGCTCAAACGACAACCTTTAATTTTGGTGAAAGATTTTGTACTCTCTAAGAGTATGTGAATTACAATTCCCTTCTGATTCATTTACAAAAGACAAAAAATCCCCTTAAAAAATATACTAAGACATAGAAAAATATATAAGACTGAGAATATAGAGTAAGACTGAAAATGTTATTTGTCATTATATTGAAATAAAAAACTCAACTAGCTCTTCTGTTAATAAGAATTTCGATTCATCAAACATTTCAAGCACTGAATTCAAGTATGGTTTACTATAACATATGACTCCAACCTAGAGCTTTTCCGGGACCAGCGATGAGCCAGTCAGCGGAGCTGTCTAGCAAGCCGTGCTGAAGCAGGACGGGTGTCAATGAAGCGTTCTTTTTGCTGACCCGACCACCTGGTAGTCTGTGGACACTCAGTACGAAACCGTCCTGAGTAATAACCTCGTGAGTTTCACATAGGTAGCCGTGGTTGTGAGCCATCTCGGGCTGCAACAAAACATTTGTGTCACTTAATAGCCAAGGCAATCCAGACCTTTGTGCATATGACGCTATGCTTTAGCTAGGAACCGTTTACACATTAATTTGGGCTAGACCAGAGGTTTGCAGCAGTATCAACGAGTTAAAAGTCATTGATTGGTAGGATTGAACACGCGACCTTGTAGACTTGAGCTTTATCATCAGGCCATCAGCAACTCGTAGGCGTGAGGATGGGTCGGATTAAGAGCTAAACTATTAGTGAAGTTACTACAGCAACCAAGTTTTACTGTGTTAGCATTTTACACCAAGTATTGTAACGGGCCTATTTGGGTGGTATTGTAACCAACCTAATTTACTAAAGAAGACCTCAGTTTACCTGGTGTTGGTAGAGGGAAGAAACGAACCTATTTTTTATTATGACAGTAAATTACTACCGCAGGGCTGCCTTCTAAAGTTAAACAGCCAGACGTCAGATGTTGTGGAGACCTAGTCGCGACACTAACGTAACCGTCGTGACCATTACCTCAACGCCATAAAATAATCTCAAAACGTAACCAAAGTGACAGATACATATATATATATATATTATGTAAGTATGGTTAATCTATGGCCTAGGCCTCAATGGAACTGTAAATGTACTAGTCTTTGTATGCGATGTCAGAAACGGAAGTTGAATTAGATTGGTCAATAATAAAGATGTTGTTCGTCATTTTATCATGTGTCTTGTCTTTCTTATAAATCCTAATGCATCTCGCTGTCCAATATATCATTGGCGACGAGCAAAATAACAAATAATAACTTAAATGTCTATTTTTTTATCTAGTGAAGAATGTCTAAAGCACCAGCGTTTGATCCAGGACTTGAAGATTTTAGTCAGTACATCGAGAGGTTAGAATTCTTCTTCAGTATTGAGAAGATAGACGATGATAGTTTGAAGAAAAGTCATTTATGTGTGTACCTAAGTCCAACTATTTATTCAGACTTAAAGTGTCTCCTTGCTCCAGTTGAATTTTCGAAAGCCACTTATAAACAGTGTGCAGAGTCTCTGAAGTCTAAGTATGCTAAGGTTAAGAAGACGATAGTGGAGAGGTATGCTTTTCATAATCTAAAGCAGCATGTTGGTGAGTCCATAACTGATTACATTACTGAGATCAAAACTTTAGCCAATCATTGTAAGATCGGCTCATTCTTTGATCAAGCTTTACGGGATCGTCTAGTGTGGCTTGTCGAATACGTCAATGGTTAGTAGGCTTCTGGCAGAAGAAGATAAGTTAGAGGAACATGCAGATCCCATGTCAATCTTCCTCTTACTGTATATGAAAATGTTTGATCAATTAAAGAGGAACGTGCAGACACCATACTCATTCTTCTTCTTATATGAAAATGTGACATCTATGAAGAAGGAACGTGCAGACACCATATGTCATTCTTCTTCTTATATAAACATGTTTCATCAATGAAGGAGAATCATGCAGACACCATAAACCATATATTTTTTTAGTTCAACAGAATAATAAAACTGGTAGAAACTCAACAACAAAGTAACTTATTCTTCTTTTTTATTTATATTTATTTTATTTTATTTATATCTTCTAATTTATTTACCAAAAGATTTGACAACATAAGAAGTCAGGACTCCAACAAACACTACTCAACTTAGGTCATAAGCACAAGCATAATTTTACTTTTGTTGATACATTTCCTGTCATTAATTGTGTTTTTAACGGCAGTCAATTATCTCAGGAATTAGCATACAATTTCATTAGAAGTTTAGAGTTAGGATTTTATTGATTAAATGCCTTAAATTTCCACTATAGCCTTAAAAACAGATGTCAAAATTTTGTAGTTTAAAAACCTTAAAATTGTCTATTATTCCTCAGTCGAATCACACATTACTTTTGGGTTGTGTCTTTATGGGGGCACATCAAATTTGGATCTAAATAGCACTCTGGAACTTCAGATAAAAGCAATTGGAATCATGTTAAAACTAAAATCAAAAGAATCCGCTAAAGAACACTTAAAAGAAATAGGAATTATGACTTTTTTAGCTCATACATTTATCAAAGATTTATATTAAATAAAATCATGAAAGGGTTCCATCTTAGCCCCTCTTTATAACATATATACTAACAACCAACCATTGCCAAACGCTACACGTCAGTCGTATATACCGATAATATGCCGATGATATGGCGGTAGCGGCACAAGGTAGGAGTTTTGAAGAGGTGGGTGACTGACTATGACTCTAAAGAACTTTCCCAGTAATGACACAAATCACCTCAAGCCGCACCCTGCTAAGACTTAAGTTAAACACCTAAACAATAGAGAAGCAACCGTGAGTTGAATGTGGTCCGACCAAAGAAGAAGGACATTGTAGCGTTGGACTCGATTGGCGGCAAACACAACACCCGATTGACCCAAATAAAAGAGTTCTTTAAGATGGAATGTTTAAGACGGAAGAGAAGGTTTAACGCAAGTGAATGGGGAACACTTAATACACTGAAGACGTGCCCACAACAAACTAATAATGCCCAGGACTGCGGTGTGTTCGCATGCCTTTATGCAGACTTATTAGTGAAAGAGAAAACTCTAAAGAACCTCGAACACAAATCGTCGAGGGAGTTGCAGGACATTTTAAAAAGAAAAATCAAGTGGATGGGAGTAGATTTCAATAAACCAGCCGTTCGCAACGTCCTGAAACCCAAGACTGTTGGAAAACCCAAGGCAGTAAATGAAGTTGCTGGACGATGTTATATACGTGAATAATAAACCACAAGCATACGACGTTACCAAAATTTACCGCCGTAATAATAATATAATAGGCCTACTCAATCAACCAAATTTAGATTACTATCAAGCTTTCTAATAGGCTCAAACAATAACCAATGAAAGACGTTATTCCAAATAGCCTAGGTTGTTGCACAGTTGCAATAAACACCGATCCTCTTGACGCTTTGTAATTTCAAGGTAATAATAAATAAAATTCTAATAAATACCTCTCTAATTAATAGCAGATTTAAGTCAAATTTCATTATTGACTAAGTTGAGATAACCTACAATACGTACACTTACCGTTTCGATATCATAACGTCTGCCGATACAACTTTTACTTTCATCAAAGGCCGTAATTAAATTAGACTCCGACTAATCATTCTTTTATTTAAATTATCCTATAGCTGTGATTTGTTTTAATTACTGTAAGATTGTTTAAATTCATATTAAGAATAACTTTATACGGATGCCTATTTACAATCATCACTAACATAACCTCCAGGACATGACATTTGACAGACATCGGTACCCGGCCCGGTTTGAGAATTGAGTGAGAGGAAGTAAAACAATCACATTACGTCATATAGTTTTTTTCTGCGCGGTACGTACTCCGGTATCATGGCAGGGCGGGATTTTTGAAAGAGAGAAGACTTCTCTCTTGTTAACTCGGCTTTTTAGCTGGAAGAGTAGAGTCCTCAAAGCTACATTCGGCAAACACTACACTCGGCTTTGTGCTGGAGTTGGTAAGAGCTGAAAGTTGGCAACTTAAACTACAGATTAGGTTTTCTTTATTAACAAAATTCAATTTCTTTCTCAGGGGTTACATTATTGCGAGTTAGGGAATTCTTGAGTCATTAATATTTTGTGATATAATTTAAAGTAGATTTTTTTTCAATTTCAAGTTAAATATTTATGAATTGTTAAATATTTGCGAATTGTTAGTGAGAAAGATCACTGTGATAATCATTTAATAAGACTGAATGTTAGATTTAATAAATTTGTTGAATAAATATTTAATTGTTACAGCATAAACTCTTGACTTATTATTGTAGGGACACGCTCTCATCTCTCTAGACATAAATAAAGAAAATACAAAATCATAATAAGCTCAGATAAGAAACAACCCCACTCATTAAATCGGCTGGCAAAGAACCTCTCCCTGAAGATAGCTCATTGCTCTACAAAAATAGCTAGGGTAACAAAAATAACTAAATTTTGAGTTGGAGTGTTGTAAAATGGCGCCCAACGTAGCAGCTGATTAACCAACGTAGTGTACGGAGTAACCAACGTAGTACCTTGATTAAACTAACTAAAATACATACTTTGAATGTCTAGAGTCTGATAAATAGGTTAATAAATAATAATGGAAGATAACACCAGTCAGTATAACTTGCGTTCGAGTATCAAACCGAGTAATAAACTATTAGAAAGTAATGAAACTTTTGAATGTTTAACAAGACGAAATCCAGAGGAAAACCAAACCTTCACACAAAAACCGAGCGAAATTATAGGTCAGGAAACACACCCAAACTATGAAAATTCAATCCACGATAGTGACAGCACTAGCAGTGAGATCTTACAAATAGAGGGGACAGATGGGACGATAAATAAAACACAAAGAATAACAGAAAAAACACCATCAAACAGAGAAAACGACAGTAAACCATCCCAATCTCAAACTATAACTATGGACAAGATCTTGTTAATACTAAATGAAATGAGAGGCGAAATGAGGGAAACTAGAGATGAGATTAAAAAACTAAATGCAAAAGTAGATGAGACTAAATATGAACTTAGCTTTACCATAGATAGAACAATTGAACTATTAAAGAGACAGGTAGAAAACCAATTGGAAAAGGTAACTTACACAATTGATCAAAAAATAAATTATATTGATGATGATTTAAGGAGGGTAAAATCAGAAGGTGAACTAAGGGAGATAAAAACTATGCGCCGGGTGGAAGAACTTGTCGAATCCCAGAATGCTAACGTAGCACAAATGATAGAGACAATAAAAAGTGACTTAATAGGAATCACTAATGACACCATTAGGGAACAAAAATCAAAAGAAAGGTATATTGAGGCTACAAACAGTAAGGAAATAATTATCACATACCAAGGGTCCCCAGAACAGTCGTTAAAACACTTGCAATTTGACGGACGACAAACAAACCCAATGATATTCCTAAACAAGCTAAAAGCATACCTTAGTCGTGAAGAGAAAAAACGAACTAACATGATAGGATTTGAGGATTCTGATCTAAAGGAAGTACTTGAAGGAATTTTTATTGGTACCGCAGCTTCTTGGTGGCAAATCATAAAGGATAGTATAGGGAACATTGACGACTTTGAAAAAGCGTTCATAAATAAATACTGGAGTAAGGAGACTCAACGTGGATTAAAACAGAGAATAGAGATGGAAGAGTATAGGCCAGGAGGTAGGTTAAGTCGTACCGAATACTTTATGGAAAAGGCGGTTCTCTTACGTTCGATGTCAGCCAATACTTTGGACGAGGAGGAAATAATAAGCTTGTTGTCAGGTCATTTTGGACAAAAGATTCAGGATGCTTGTAGTGTCCAGGGCATAACCACTATCAGTGCTATGGAAAAATTGTTAGACCGTGAGGACAACGAAGAGAAAAATAAAAGCTTAAAATTTCAAAATAACAGCTCTAAGTCAAACCAAACTTACAATCAACAACGCAGTAAAACACACCTCGTTGGAAATGAAGATTACAGACACGAGAT